AAAAAACATATGACGAGATAATTAGCTGTATTTCAGATCATTAAAAAGCATCAGAATACCACTTGGACAGCTTTAGATTTGATTTATTGACACACCACATCTGTGAGAAATAAATAAGAGGCTTTCATGAATCACTCAGCCAAATTAACAAAAGCATGAAGTACTTTCACTCCTTTGTATTAATCTGATGGCAATCAAATGTGCCGGCTTCATATCTGAACCTTGGTAATTTTTGTGCAAAAGCTGCAACATAACTTCCCCATCACTTTGAACACAGCACAAGTCTGAATTGCATGTGGTCCCATTAACGGAGATGTACGCAAAAGCAATGATATTTAGACTGTAATTTGGGGACGTTTTTTTTTTGTTTTTTTTGCACATTTCAGCACCAATATGGTTGATAAACATCACAAAAAGCACAAAACACATTTTGTTTGTCAAACATCACAACACACCTTTCTCATTCACTCTGCTCTACAATTTCATATCTATTAGGAAACAAACTGAAATGTCCACATCCAGCTGTTTGGAGGAGATTTTACTCCAATAAGTACCTGCAACATCAAATAGCCGCAGGATCCAAATGTGCTTCTCCAAAACAAGAGAGTTACGTGCGTTTATGTACATGGAACAATGGTGGTAATAACTTCGGTAATTACTTGTGAATCCCTGACTTGGAGACAGGATCAATACAGGTCAGGATCTAACAGCAAATCACACTGTGTTGTTTTGTTCACATCAGATAGGTGAGCTGTCACATAGAGAGTCACACTTTACCTCCAGTTAAAATATCAGAGCTGTAGGAATTGCGTCATTTTGCAGTATACGAGGTGTGTCAGAAAAGTTTCAGGACTGGTGTCATAAAACATATATTTCAAATACAAAAGTTTTCCCCTTCGAAGTAATCCTTGAGGAGTCTCACGCTCTTTTCCAGCCTTCTCTGCCACGCCGCCTTGCACTCCTGGAAGGATTCTTCCGGGATCCTCCGCAGCTCCGTCGTCACAGCCATCCTGATGTCTTCCACGTCTTCAAAACAGGTCCCCTTGATGACCCCCTTGAGCTTGGGGAAGAGGAAAAAAAATCCCATGGAGCCAGGTGGGGTGAGTAGGGAGTTGAGCGAGCGATGTTCTTCTCAGCCAGGAACTGTGGGATGCTGAGGGCATCAGCAGGCGCGTTGTCATGGTGAAGCAGCCACAAGTTGTCCTGGCACAACTCTGGCCTCTTCTCTGAACTAAACGAAGCAAACGCCGCAGGATCTCTTTGCAGACGTCTGAATGGGAAAACTTGTAGTTTGGGTTTGAAATACATCTATTGTGACACCAGTCCTGGAACTTTTCCGACACACCTCGTACATCACTTGATGTTGGATCCAGTCTTATATGAATGACAAATAATTGCGTTCATACCATCACTGTGGTGGGTTTGTCTGAATGAAGCCGTGAGGTACATTAATGGAAACGTAACCTCAGTCTGAAGGCCTGCAATGTTGCGTATCTCATATCTGAAAAGGACCTAGCGTGCAAAACAAACAGATCTGTACCAAACATATAGATGTCTCCTCCACAGTCAGTAGATGTCTAAATGGTAAGCTAGAAAATACATGGGTTTGTTTGCTAGCCTGTAAGTTATGTGCATGTGTTTAAGCATTTAGCTGTTCTGTCCAAATGTAGACTTTAGTGTGGCAGTAAAAGGAAATGATAAAAGTATCCCTGAAAGTACCAATCACAGTCTTCCTCATACGAGCCAATACAACATACAGCTTAACATGAAGTGCAAACGTTACTTTCAGGGATTATCGATGTCTGACTATCATAATATTGAAGTCCCTTGACGGTAAATGCGTTTAAAACACTGTTATAACGCTGTCAAACACACAACAGCCGCAGTGTTGACTCTCAGCTGTTCGTACCATTATCAGCTACCAGCTCTTACCTTAAACTTTCCAAGGAAGCCGAGGCGTTTGGCGCGTTTCTGTTCTGTAAAATACAAAAAAAAAATAAAACGACAAAACGAGACAATTTTAAAGCGTCAGTAGTTAGTTTCTGAGTGAATACAGTCAGTTAAAGGCGATAAAAACGTACTAGCTTTGGACATCACGTCACCAGAGTCGTGCTCTTCCAAGACTTCACGTGCACGCCAAGAGAGGGGACATGCGCAGACGTGACTACCTACAACATCCGGCGGCTGCATGTCAAAATAAAAGAGCGGTGTATAACATTTGGAACTTAAAATGATCGACTAATGTTACACAATTATTAATCTGTGTCTATTTGATATTCATGCACCTTTTCCACCTCCATATTATTCAGTTCTAGTTGAATATAAAAAGCTGTTTTGAAAGTTATATTTTTTTAAAGTCACAACTAACTTTGTTTCCTTTTTTTTAATGAATGTGACTGTTGTTAATATGTTAATGTTGAATAAATGAATAATTTTTTTTATAGAGCGTCTCCTAAACTGGTGTTCTGGCTAGGACTTCAACCTTTTTGGCTCAGTAGAGCTTCCCTATTGCTCCCATTTTCAGCATTTTTGCCACTTTTGCCTCCAAGTGCTTGCTTAAATGGAATCGTTGGGTTTCACACTGGACAGTCTTCACCTTCATTTTTTAAAGTGCCCTGAGATGACTTTTCATAATTCTTGCTGATTTTATTATTGCAAATGTGTCATTTTAATCTTTTAACTTAAATGGAAACACTTTGGCTCAGCTTTTGTTGTTCTAAGGTAAGGGTGTCTTGACTGTGGTAATAATGATTTTATAGTTCCCAAATGAATACAACAATAAAGTGAATTTAAATAAAATAGCTCTTTTTGTTTGACTTGCAATTTCAATCTACACTAGCCTAGGGGGTACTTTCAAGGGTAGCAGCTGCCATAACACTTTCTCTTTGTTCTGGCTCTGTGAATAAACGTGATGCACCATATGGTTTATCACACAGAATCTTTTGAGAACTTGGCAGACATCCCTCACCATTTATCCCAGGCTGACTACAACCAATCAGATCAACGAACCATGTGACATAGTGGGAGAATGCAAAAGGGGAAAGTGAACAAGCTACAGTCTGAGAAGTTTTGAAAGCAGTCATCTTTGTCAGGGAAATTGTTTCATAAAAGGCATTCTTAAGAATACAGAAACCAAACAAACTCAGACTCACAGCTGCCATTAGTTTCTCAAAACTTGCTGATTGCGCTGAATCATTGTGGTTTGCCAACAAGTGCAAAGACTGAAGCCTGGCAAGATGGATTCTTACGTGGCGTCGTAAGAATCCACGTACCTTGAGGTGAACTGTGAGTGACCTCAGTGATACAGGCCAAGTTTTCTCTCATCTCCACCAAATCAGATTAAAGGAACACTTCAGGTTATGTCGTGAAATTGATTGGCTCACCAAAGTTCTGGCATGTTTGCAAGTTTGTGTCGTAACCCTTTAATCTCTCTAAAATGACAGTTCACTTGAGGGGAAAGCGGAGACTTGCAAAAGCTTGTGTTTTAATCTGGTGTATCAGTGCTTTTGTCAAGTTCAGGAACCGTGGGAGTCCCACAGCGTTGTTAAGATTCCCATGTTGGATGGATCTTGATGGACCTGCTTGTGTTCATGTTTGTACTTTAGTGTAGAATTAATACATTTTTCTGTAGTTTATGAAGTAGATTAAAGATCATTTGTGAGGATATGCTATCCCATTCATTCAACATTTCAAATTCCCAGCTCTCTCCTAAGGTTCAAAAAGTCAACAGAGTTCACAGTTTTAGGTAATCAGCCATGAGCTGGGAAGATGTTTTATAAAATAGGGACACTATAGCTGAAAATTACACTCAAAAAATGTTGCTACCACTTCCTAGCATGAAATTTTCTGACACATCCACAAGACATGAGCAATATGTCATAGTTTGGTTCCCTGGTGGATCCAGTATTCATTTTTGATTAGGCCTCCACTAGCTCTTAAAGATCCATCCATCCATCATCTATACACCGCTTAATCCTCACGAGGGGGGTGCTGGAGTCTATCCCAGCCGACTTAGGGCAAAGGCCGGGGACACCCTGGACACGTCACCAGTCTGTCACAGGGCTACACTTAGAGACAGACAACCAAGCACATTCACATTCACACCTACGGCCATTTTAGAATCACCAATTAACCTCAACATGTTTTTGGACTGTGTGGGAGGAAGCCGGAGAACCCGGAGAGAACCCACACTGCACGGGGAGAACATGCAAACTCCATGCAGAAAGAGCCCAGCTGTGAGGCGACGGTGCTAACCACAGAGTCACCTTGCAGCCCCATGTAAGAACTTATTCTTTTCTAAAAAAATGCTGTTGAAAATGCAACACTGCATCACCCAGTTTAAGCTCTTAACTGCAGAATTTGGTGAAAAAATGTCTCTTTACATTTGAGCAACTATCAGTATTGGCAGACGAAGATGGATTTAGTTTAGACTTAATTGTAATAATGATGGAATATATCCCAATTTATTTTTAGGGCACCCTATTTTAAAATCATAGATCAAGTGCAAGTTTTTCTCCAGCCAATCAAACCAGTACATATTAACTAAACAAATTATGGTTTTAACTGTGAATATCATGTCGTCCATTTGACTTCCCTTAACTCTCAGGAGGAGCTCGAAGACAAAGCAACACAAGCATGACCTTGGACTCATGACTAATAGAATAAATACCTAATTTAACTAAGCTATCACGTCCTGTTTCCACTATACAAGTTTCATAGTAGCCCCTAAAGACATTAAAATGGTTGTGAGGTGTCTTACTAAATAGTTAATTGACACTAATGATGAGGAAAATGTTCGAGGTTTTCAAACAATCTCTGCACTCAAAGTTGTAAAAATCCCCACAGCAAAGACTTCAAATATGCTTGATGTTTTTATTTACATTTCAAAATAAAAGACCACCCATGAAGAAATCATTTCCTTCATGGACGCACTACAAATACATTTACTGTACAAATCAAAATAGTTCCTATTTCTTTCCCGAAACGAAGAACGCAGAGGTTTATGCAGGAGCCACGGAGGAGACTTCTGTCTTTGATGTGGATACTTCAGAGCCATCATCCACTTGTTTGCCAAAGAGCTGCAAGATGCATGTGCGGAACTGATGGAGAAAGAAGAGAAAAGAATGTCAAAATTGGACAAAAGACACATCTGACATGGTAAGTTGCTCACTATGGCGATGAGATTCTTGTGCCCACCTGTCGGTTCATGAAGACGTAGATGATTGGGTTGTAGATGGTGGCGCTCTTGGCAAAGTATGCAGGCATGGCAGCAGCCAGAGGATGGAACGCATACCCAGGGTTGGCGGCAGCAAAGCAGGCAAAAAATGTGTAAGGTCCCCAGCACAAACAATAAGCAAAGATCATGACCACGACCATCCTGGATACTTCCCTCTCAGCTTTCTGTGTTGACTCCGATTCCTTCTGCTGCAAGGCAACCTGTGGTTGACAAATCAGAAGTGTCACGTCCTGCCCGGCTGGGGCCTACAGATAAAGTACAGAACTGCAATAGAAAGGACTTACAGCACGGATGGCCAACCACACTGCAAGGTAGCACAGGATGATGATGGCCAGGGGAAGGAGACAACATGTGACCATGAGAACAATCATGTAGGACTGGACTCCAGGGTCTTCACTCCCACTGAACACATCAGGTCCACAGGATGTCTTCAGTCCATGAGGCCAGTACCTGACACGACAAAAGACTGCTCAGTTTTTATTGCCACTGATGAATTTGTTATCTTTATAAATACATGAAATCAGTGCGATAACAAAAACCAGCAGGCTACCTGCTCCATCCAAACATGGGGGGAGCGCACCACACTGCTGCCCAGACCCAGGAGAACACAATTCCACTTGTGGCCCATTTGGCATCAAACTTGACGTTTCCGAAAGGTTTGCACACAACAACCCATCTCTCCCAGGAGATGATGGTCAACGACCAAAGAGCAGTAATACCTGTGTAATGAAGCAGTGCATTCATTTAACTTAAATATAATAAACGTTTCTTAAAAAATTTCTTTTAAACACTATTTCATTATTTCATTCAAGATTTAAAAAAAAAAACTGCTTACCACAAGTTGAGACAATATAGCCCTCAAAAACACACATTGGGTGTCCAAGGATGAAATAACCAAAAAACTGGTTGCAGACACTGATGGTGCTGGCAAAGACTGTCTCTCCAAGATCAGCAATAGCAAGATTGACCAAGATCCAGTTCAGAGGGTGACGGAGTTTCTTGAACTTTGCTGTGGCCACCAAGACGAGACCGTTGGTGAAGACGGATAATATGACCACAAAAAACATCCAGACTGTTGCAACGTTGTAAACCCATCGAGGAGCAATGTGGTAGTTTGGGCCCTCAAAGGGATCTAGTGAAAGAAAAAAGTTTTACAGTTTGGTTTCATGAGGTCCCACCATGTCAAAGTACTACCTTTTTAAAACAACATGTAATAATCTACGTAATGGTAAACACAGTGTATGTAATTGGAATATGTCGTCTGTCTTGTCACAGAAATAAGACAAAAGTCTAATTTTTGAAGAGTGCTGTAAAATAATACATATTGTAGTTAAAGTTGCATTCAACACTCAAGGGGAGAAAATGTTGAAATGCCCTCAGATGTTGCCACTGAAATTGTATACTGTCTGTTCAGACAAAATCTGCCCATGAATGGAATAAAGAAGTTTTAGGGTTGAACTAAAAAGCATTTTTCTCAGGTTCTTGGTCCATTTCTTTACTTTTTTTTTTTGGTACAAATCTATCATATGATAAACATCCCCATGAAACTCTTCAAAACATAAAACAAGCATTCATTACCTTTGGTGTAATTAGTGTTTGTGTAAGTAAAGGCAGCTCCCCTCGTTGTTTCTTCATTGTACCGCCTGGCAGCAAACACCGGTTTTCCCCACTCCTCTGCCATCCTGATCTTAGAAGGAGGTCCTCAGCTGTCTGCCTTTCCCCGTCACTTGCAGTCTCCTTGGGTGACTGGAGCCACACATCTGACCTTAGCTTTTATACTTATGCTTCAGAGACCTGTGATAGGATTAGGCTACAATCAAATTACAGCTGCAGTGTGTCACTTGGCAGTGATACTTAGCAGGAAAGCAATAAACTTACTTTAAACTGTTATTAAAACTATTAGCTAATGAGATTAAGACACAAAATGCCAGAATAATCTGGTTGGAAAGCTGATTTCCATCCGCTTAGTGAAAGGACCTTTGACAAACACAAATAATGGAAATTTGAGTCCTCATTTTCCCCTTAGTAAGTTCTTCGTTAGCCCACATTTACTATTACTAAAATCTGTAGCAGTGTAGAGATGAATAGTACAGTACGACGTCTCAAATGTTTAGATTCAGAAGGGAATAATTATTTATTCTGACACTTATACCTATTATATGATATTAAGTTAATGTGGGAAATGAAAACAAACACTCACCAAGTGTGCATAGCCTAATTTCATATCAGAAGATCATGGAGTGGGTTGTGTCTGCACACCAGGAGGTCTGGTGGTCCTTCCTCAGGAAATCTTTAACATCCAACACTTCATTTCTGGCATTTTTGGTGAATTTTTCTGCACCAATTTATGCAGAATTTTGCAATCAGTGTCAGGTGGAAATGCTGAACTCCACAGAAGTAACCATTTAAATGTTGATTTAGACGTTGTTTTAGGGTTATAATTGGATCAGGATTAGACATTCAGTTAGGATGGTTCAGAGTCAGGTAAGGAACACAAGATAGACACAAAGAGGTGTGTGTGTGCGTGTTCGTGTGTGTTTCTATTTGTCCAGCCATCTTTAAGAGAAGAGTTGTAGACCATCAAAGTGGGGACATTTGGAAAAATGAGGACCTTATGGACTTTTTCACAAGTCTAGTTTAGCCCATCTATGTGTTCATAACGTCATCTATTGGGGGGCGACAATTACATTTATTCTGCATACTGACAGCAGCAAAACTCCAGAGTCACACCCAACCCCTTCTAAAATCCACACCTGTGCGTGGTGTTGGTAGGTCAATGTGTGGATTGTGATTGGCATGAGGGGACAGTCCAGTATTAGCGCAGCTTTGGTGGTCAAGTGGAACTCCGTGGCTCCATTATAGCAGCAGCTGCAGTTGTTGCCATGTGAGGAATGTAAGACACCTTTAATCCTTCCGTAAAGACGGTTCACCTCAGATCATGGGATTTTTCATCACCCGTTTGAGCCTGCAACTCACGTCAGTGTCCTTATGTCAAGGGTTAGGTGGACGGGTTAAAACATCTCAATTATACGGATTGCAACCGATTGGGGTGGACCAAAAAAAAAGCCGGGAGGTTGGGGCAGTGAAGGAGATGCACTGTGGATTCTGAGGTGTGTTTAGGGTCATTGTTGTAAAAGCCGTCGTTGTCATTTTTCTAGACCATGTGATATTTGCTTCCAGAATTTGATGGCATTTAATTGAATCCGCTCTTCCCTCTACCAGCGAAAAGCCCCCTGCGCCAGTGGATGCAATGCAAATCCTGATCAATCCGTCCTCATGCTTAACAGTTGGAGACGTGTCATTTTCCTGAAAATCAGACTCCGTTTTTCTTCAAACATACCTCTGCTCAATGCGACCAAAAAGTTATATTTTCGTCCATAGGAGCTGTTTCCAAAATGCATCCAGCTTGTTTCGCTGTTCATCTGCACACTTCTGGTGATGAATTTTGTGTTGAGGATGCAGGAACGTTTTCCTCTGATAAGTGTTCAATAAAGATTATATTTGTGCAGGTGTTGCTGAATAACAAAGCATCTCTACTCCTTTGCAGTGAAACAGGGGTTTTCTTTTCTTGGTCTTGATCAGTGTGACCTCAGTTTCCATTTACTGCTATTGAAAAAGAAAAGAAAAAAAAAGATTAGACACAGAGCAAACAGCTTGCTGAAAATGCTTTTCTGGCTTCTTATTTGTAGAGGAGCTGATGGCTGCAGGTTGTTGAGGAGTGAAAGTGTTTCTAAAGCTTTGAAAGTTTAGCACCTGACTGTTCCTAACAATGACTGTGAACAGGTTGTGGCTCTTACAAGTTGATTAAGGCCTGGCACATTGGTAATAGTTTTAAGAGCTCAAATCTCTCTCAAAGCACAAACTATTGCATGGTGAGCCTTTCCTTTCTTACCTCTGAAATTGTGCAAAACGAAAATAGTACATTCATCTTGCTTAAAGTGTTGAAATTGATGTTTTTTCTTTAACTTTCTACATTTTCAGATCAGTTTAATCAAACTACTGGGGGCAAAATGTTCCTGATAATGTAACTACACACATTGAGTAAGGCTAATATTAAGCAATAATTGTCTTCTTTGTATTACACTTGCTATAATTAATTATCAGTCACTGACCTTCAAACATGGTGTATTATATCAAGAAAAAAATTGTCTTCAATGCCAACAGCACTTCTTTATTATTATTATTATTATTATTATTATTATTATTATTAATAATAATAATAATAATAATAATAATAATAATTCTTTTTCACAGAGGACACTTTGAGATGCCAGTACGAAGCCGTGCAGCTGTAAATATTAAAAATAATGATGGTTAAATTATACGCAGTAAAACATCAGAAAAAACTTTAAGCAAACCCGCTGTGTGCAGACACTGGGGATGCATATTACTTAATTACTGTTATTTTCTTGTACTTTCTATATTTTTGGATGCTGCTGTGGTGTGTAAATTTCCCCCAATGGGGGACCAATAAAGTGTTCTATTCTATTCTATTCTATTCTATTCTATTCTATTCTATTCTATTCTATTCTATGAATCAACTTTTCTAGTTTACTTAATGAAAATATATATGCTTTTCTGTACGTTAGACATTGATAACAAGAGTTCTTATAACTTGAGGCTTTTTGGCTTAAAAAAAAAAGCTAAAAAAAACCCTCAACTATTAAAATCATATTACAAGAAACAAAAGTAGCATTAGTTAGTTCTGTTTCTTTTTCAGTGTAAATATTGAATATATTTTTTCATTCAATAGTATATTTTTGTCATCTTGTGTATATATTTATTTTATTACTTACATAATTATTGTTATTTCCTAGTACTTTCTTTTCTATATTATTTGGATCCTGCTGTGGCGTGTAAATTTACCCCAATGGGCGATCAATAAAAATATTCTATTCTATTCTATTCTATTCTATTCTATTCTATTCTATTCTATTCTATTCTATTCTGTTCTGTTCTATTCTATTAGTTGTTAGTTTGAGAAAACAGACAGGAGCTGAGGTAAAATAGTGTAGATTAAGAGCATAATTTAATAAAGTCAAGACATGAAGTTGAATTAACTAGACAATGGTTACAGGCAGACTTCTTTTTCCTCTTTAACATTTTCTAACTTTAAAGCATTTCCTTCTCCTCAGTCTCAGCTGTTGAAGTCATTTTTGACTGCAGTTAATACAAGGACAGATAAACCTTAAGTCTACAGGTGTAAGGACTGAATTCAGTATAACTTTGATAATTAATAAAAGAAACAACCATCATTTCATTTAATATGTATGCTGCATATGTGATAGACTGGTGACCTGTCCAGGGTGTCCCCTGCCTTCACCCTGAGTCAGCTGGGATAGACTCCAGCTCCCTGTGACCTTAGTGAGGATTAAGCGGTGTATAGATAATGGATGGATGGAGTCTAAATCGGGTTTTTAAATTCTAAAGTGGTATGGAATAAACTGACATTTTAAATTCAATTAACTAGAAATAAGAGAAATTATTGTTGAGGAAATTCTACAAAAAGTAAAAGAACAAGTGTCCATCAGAATTATTTAATGCAATAAACCACATGTTTCTGTACTGGAGTCATGCCGATGACTGTCAGAGACCAGAGCCAAAGTCACACCCAACCTTAAAGGGTAGTTTGTCTCTCGTACCCCTCTGAGCAGTAGGACTAAGTCTCTCATTGTTTTGTCTAACTGTCCCACTAAATTATTTGTGTGGACCTTCAAGATCAAGCCTCCTGAGTAGCCTCCTGATTAAAAAACAGGAGCGAATAAAACACAAACCTTCACATGAGAGAACACAGTTAGTATGTGAAATATCCAACTGCATAACTGCAGTTAAACCAGTCAAATACAGCACAATTTCCAATACACATATACATCCATCCATTATTTATAGACACTGCCAAATCCTCACGGGGGGGCAGGAGTCTATCCCAGCTGACTCAGGGCAAAGGCAGGGGACACCCTGGACAGGTCGCCAGTCTATCACAGGGCTACACTTAGAGACAGACAACCAAGCACACTCACATTCACACCTACGGACAATTTAGAATCACCAATTAACCTCAACATGTTTTTGGACTGGGCTGCAAGGTGGCTCAGTGGTTTGCACTGTCCCCCAGTTAGGACGCCCGGGATCTTTCTGCGTGGACTTTGCTGTTCAGTCTGTCCGGGTTCTGTACAATAATGTCACAGTCATGGTAATCATAGCATTACTCTAAAGTTACTATGAGGTTTTTAATTATCTTATTTTGAAAGAGTTTCTTCACCTGCATGGCCCAGCGTTAGGAAGCATTTGGGGGGGATTTGATTGGGGATCTGTCTTTGTACGGTATCACGCAGATGTTCCCTGCAGCCACCACTCTGACGCCACACGGGCGTAGCATCTCGTTAAAGGGTTACGGCTGAGTTGCAGACGTTTTCGTTTACGGCTGAACCTCTAATGAGTTTGACCAGGTACATGCAGGTGAAGATGTTTTCATGTCCCAGAAGACTAAAGCAGATTATACGGACAACTCAGGTTCCTCCACAAAACAGATTAACACAGAGTAATTACTTCTGGCATGGTCACTCCGTAACACTTTAATCTCTCCGGAATAACAGATCACTTCAGGAGAAAGCTGAGGTTAATCAAAGCTGATGTAGTGGTTTATTTTAATCCTGTGATTCTGAGTTTTTATGGAGTCCACTTCTTGCACAGGTCTCCGGTTCACAGATTTGACCAGAACTCCATTCGGGAAGAAGGACTTTACATGAAGAAGGAGCCGGACACTGAAGGAATCTGTAAACTTTTTTTTTCCTCTTTTTGAAAACCTGTATATGTCTAAGTTGATATCAGTACTTACTTTTAGTGAACGTTAACTGTAGAGTGCTAGAAGACTGTAACACTAGTTATTGTTTGTCGCCCCTCTTGGCTGCTGTTTCCATGTGATGCTGTGATGTTTCGGGGGTAGGTCTGGAATTCCGCTAGTTCTGAACTATTCATGTTTGGTAAGGAGTTCACTACTAGCAGAACTCGGATTTGCTCCCGACTACCGACGGGAATCTCGGTGAACGCCACGACGTCCGGTTCATTCGCTCGCCGCCCTGAACAGGAGGTGGTCGGCATGTGTGGCTGTGATTAATGGCTGTGATTAATTACGCTGGTGTGAAGTGAACCACGTCCACCTTCCATATGGCCTTGTGTTCACTTCACATCAGGTAATAATCCTTTTGTTTAATCTGTCGTTGAGGGTTTTTTTTTTTTAAATGACCACAATCTTCACTTCTTTTTTGTTTTTGCCTCCTGCAGCACAAACAAACCAAGAAGCAGTTCTTACACGGGGATTTCCACGTTTGATTTGACCGACTGAGTTCCATTTCTGATCAGCAGCATCACAACTGGACAAGATGGACCCTCATATTTAATCATCTTTTTTCTTTTTCTGATTTTATTGTATGAATTGTTTTTATGTCTGCATTACTTTTCCATTATAAAAGTTATCTATAGCTTGTTACAATACTGAGGAAAGTAGATCTGAACAAAACCTTTTTATGTTCATGTTACTTAGATAAACTGCAAAATACAATCATTTATCCAGACTAATAGTTTTATTAATAGATTTTTTAAATCAGACTGTAGGGACTCGTACAGCTGCCTATACTGGCATAAAAGCAGTGATCATATTCAAATAATACAATTTAGTTTATTGTGTTAAAGCATTTGAGAAGATGTTGTAACTTAAACTGTCATCCATATATCACAGTAATAACACTGTGTTTTTCATTTATTTCTGTTGTGCTTCGAATTTCTAAACCTGCACTAATTTTAAAATGCCGACATTATATGTAAAGATGTGTCTATATGTGCTAAATTATCCCCTAATTTCTGCAAGATAATAACTGAACAAACTAGGGAATGGCTGATAGATTGAAACAAATTGTCTGGACATGTGTTTTAACTTGATCAATTAAAACTAAGTCAAAACACTGAAAACTTTTCAAGTGATTGGTCTCGGTTGTGCAGCCACAGCTCGGTGCTGTTTTGATGGAGATGGGTTCACTGTTTTCTGCCATCTGTTGGCCAAATGTCTGCAATTTTTACATAAATCTAGACAGATTGCATCAATCTTTTTGAGTTACCGCAACTTCTAATGAAATTATGTTCAACCAACAAACTATGTTGAGCAACTTTTCCTTTACAGGTATTTTTAAATTTTCACTCTTATCTATGTGTAATTGTCCAGGCGTGTCGAGATGCAAAAATTAAGTTATCAAGCTAGTTTTAATTAAGTTGTGAATGTAGTTTTAAATCAAGTCATACAGAAATTTGAGTTTAAATTACAATATTAAGTTGACGTGATCATCAACATGATGATGTCAACACAACTCATCAAAACAATGTTTTCCACTTTCATCTAAATCACTACATTTTAACAGTTTTTTGTTTGTTTTTTAAAATCTTGAAGTCATGAATTTAATGAAATAGTAAAAAATATGTCCCTAGACTTCCAATGAAGTGTAGATGTTCTTATTCTGCATGTTATAGTGTTCATGTTATAGGACATGCATTTATACAAACCTGATGTTAGCAGTCTTTTAAAATTTGCCAGTGATGGTACATCTAATGAAAAATGTTCATAGTCAGTATTGTTGTGTGCTTACCGAATATGGTATATTCATTTCTGCTTCATGTTGGGAATTTTTGCCTCAAAATAAATTTTTACCACAAATTCTCTCTCTCTCTCTCTCTCTCTCTCTCTCTCACTGCTGAAGTTTGGAAACAGAACTGTGATTTGCTGTGTAGCACAACAAAACATCCACACTTGTCCATAAGCTGTAAAGCTGTTGGCTGTTTATTAACACTCTGGTAAAACTGCAGGTTATACGTACACATATAAACACATATACAAGCATATACGTCTATGTCTTGACAAAATCACTTACACACAGATGCTACAAGTATTTCTTTGCAAAGGTTAAACTCTATCCGTTTGGTGATCTTAATCTTTATTTCTCTGAAAAGAAAAGCAGATTTTAGGACGGAATATGTGACTGAAAGACTAGAATATGCATCAGTTTCATGTTCTTTCGCATGAGTAGCACCCTTTTAAAGACATCCACAATCGTTAAATTGCTCGAAACATTCATTTATCTCTTCCAATTTTTTTCAAATTTTTTTCCTTTGCATAAAAATCTGTTTTATAAGAATAATACCGAGCCATTTGACTTTGTGATCCATTTAAATTAAGTGTAAACAGCCTAAGAAGGTTCAACTTTAGAGACTTCAGTGGTGGATTGACTTGATGATTCCTCATCGGCGCCTGAACTGATCCCCAGCATCTTCCACATGCATGAGCGGAACTAGTGAAGAGAACAAAGAGAAGTATATTAGTTGCTTTTCTTTATTCAGTGTATTTCAGCCCTTTTTCTGATAGCATCTCCTTGAATATTTCAAAAAACAAAGAGGGGAAAATAGTTACTGCATGCATTTACTCAGCTTTTAGTAGCTACACCTGCCCTTTCTTGCTGCTTTTGTTGGAATGATCTTGGTTTGTTTTTTGTTATAGTTTATGGTGACCTGAACCTGTTTGTGAAGCCACGAGAAAGATAAGAAAGTTCCTATCTAACTGTGCACAAGAGGTGTGGGATCGTCCTTCTCTAATGAACTTAATTAGCACGTATAAAAATTCAAAAAGTGCTTGAACAAGTTGTTTGTCGACAGATTTCCATCACAGCTGCAACAGCTTGTGGAGACGTGGCCTCATGGTGTGTTATATGGAGGAGACTGACTGACCAACATCCAGTTTAGCATTGGCATGTTAGCAGCTACATATAAGAGGTACAAACTGGTACAGCCAACAAAAAATGCCAAATGTAATTGTGAATACAGCAAGAGAAAAATGAAGTAGTCTCTGTTTAAAACAAAATAATTAATTTTCACTCTCTTAAATGACTGTTAATAATGTATATATATTACATGTGTCTGTTTATACTGTGTGGAGTCCACATTCTGAATACTACCGTCTGTGATTCTTACTACTCTATATGTTGAAAGTTATATTCGATAAAGTGACTTTTTGTAATTCATTACCCCCCTATAGCATGTGCTAAATGTTTATTATTTGCAAACTTTGTCATCTCCTATTTAACTTCTTTTTGTACCAAACCATTTACTTGATGAAGGTCTAGCAAAAAATCAGTAATAAAAGAATTTTTGCAAGTCAGACAATGTGCTGGAGTCTATTTCAAACTTTTAAAGTCTTACTTTAATAACAGAATAATTGCAATATATAATTTCGAGAGCCTTTTGTCCAAATCAGTAAAGTATTCAGAATATGGCGTATTTAGGTTTAATTGTGTATCAGGTCTTCTGGTTTTTGGAAGTTCTGTTGTCTTTATTTGTCACCATTAGAGGGCATTAGTGGCCTTGTCACCGCTACGGTACATTAAGAACGACTTCAGCGCAGTTGCATGAGTGCAGAGTTAATCTCCTGTCTGCAAAAGAGCTTGTAACACTGACCGAGTACTTGGCAGTGAGCCCACCTGCTTATTAAGGAGGATGTAGATAACAGGGTTGTAGACTGTGGAGGCTTTAGAGAGGCAAGAGGGGATGGTGGCCAGCCGGAGGTCAAAGCGCTGCCCGCGGTTGTTGACAACCCAAAGAGCAAAGGAGGCGTAAGGCAAATAGCACACCAGGAAGCCCAACACCATGACGATCACCATCTTGGTCACCTCCCGCTCGGCCTTCTGGGTGGAGACAGAGTCAGCCTGGGCCTTCGCTGCCTGTTGAGACGAAAAATGACAAATTGTAAATGTGGAACTTTTTCTTTCACCCTCCGCCTTATTGATGGTATTTGTTCTATTGTCCTTCTATTGCTTACTAGTATATATTTATAAAGAAGGAAGAAATAACACAACACCAATCATTTGAGTTATTGCTTCACATATTTTCTACACACAATCAGCCCAAACGCAGCAGCTAACAGAGGACAACCTGTGAAATGTTACCTACCGATTTCACCATGAAAAGCAGCTGTGAGTAGCAGAAGACGATGGTTGTGAAAGGGACAGAAAAGCAGAAGCAGAAGAGGAACAGCACGAAGGACTCATTGTTGAACTTGTTGTCCGTTGTGTACCAGTCTGGACCACAGGAACATTGCATGCCCTCTGGGATATACCTGGAGAGATGGATCGCCACACACTGATCAGTATTCTATGTTTATAGGAGTCTGTGCAGCGCTAAACTTTGGGATCGGAACAGGGGGACCAGGGAGCTTATATAGACTTGGGCATATGACAAAGTCCATTTAAACAATTAATAAAACTGTCTTCATGTACTGACCTACTCCATCCAACCAGAGGAGGAACTGCCGCACACAAAGCAAAGACCCAAGTCAATGCACAGAGGCCTAAAGCATGGTTGGCCTGGAAGCTGAAGTTCCCAAGTGGCTTGCAGACAACCAGCCATCTCTCAACTGCTATCACAGCCAGCGACCACAGGCTCACCATGCCTGCAAAGAGACAAAAATAATGCGATGATTACAGTTCCCTCTCTGAGCTATTTGTAATACAGTTTAGAAAAAGCTAGGGTTTCAAGATCAGCACACGTTTCATTACAGGCGGTCCACTTTGTCTGACTTAAGCAGTTTCTTTTTAAGGTATTTGGCCCAGATGTACACAGAACCAGCTTTGTCCTGAATGACAAAATGGTCACATTTTTGCAGTAAAAATTTTAAAAAAACATTTAAAAAATTTTACACTAAATTTCATATGACATTTATTTAGCATTAAACATAATAAACATTTTTTTCAGCTGCATGAAGAGAAAAAGGTCACCAAAGGTCACTATCTCTCACTTAGAAAACACACAGTTCAAATGTGATAAACTGAGGTCGAATCTAAGTCTATAACTGCAGCTGTTGACGACAAAGTAGTAGACATTTCCTGTTAAATATGTGGGTTAGTTGCCTTCTTAGCAACTCTTAGAACTAATCACTAACTTTGTTTGGCGTACAAGTAAACAGACACAGATTATTCATAGTGCCGTGTATTATTTAACTGTATTGTTGCAATTAACACAAGCACACATCTCCCACATTGCGTTGCAGGTAATCCAGTTGTGATTTTTTTCTAAGTCCTTACCACCAATAGTTGCTGTAAATCCTTCAATCTTGCACCCCAGTGGCCCAAGAATCATGTATCTGAAAGCAAAGCAGTAGAAGCAGGTGAAGGAGCCCACAGAGGAGACGAGCAGGTTTGCCACAGCCAAGTTCACCAGGATGTAGTTCAGATGAGAGCGGAGCTTCTTGTATTGAACAGTACATGCAATAGTGAGGACGTTGATGGCCGTACCGGCCACAAACAAGAAGAACATAAATGCTGACATTGCATAAAAAAGCCCCAGGCTTCCTAAATGGTCCTGAGGAACCAGGTACGGGCTGAAAGCCGTGATGTTGTTGGTGTTCAGAGCGATGGGGATCCAGAAATCCTCTGGGAGCTCTGTTGATTGACGAAATTTCATCTTTCCCTGCTTGTATGTCCAATAAAAATTTTAACACTGTGTAAAAAATACTAAATGATAGTATTTGCAATAAACAACTACCATCCAGTTCCAGTGGAGTTGTGCCTTTCTGAGCTGCATTTATAGGAGCTTTGAATATTGGTCAAGCTCAACTTAATTGGCTCAAGGACAGGATTTAAAGCTTTCCATGCATCACCAACAGCAGCGTACGCCCCGTCAGAGCTAATACAGAGATTAGTATCGCATTATCAGAGTAGGCAAAGATATCTCATTACATGCCAACGTAAGACCCACGTAAACCACATAATCTGATCTTTAGTGATGTCCAGGTGTTCAGTCGCATGTATTTTTCTCTGGGTAATCCAGGCTGTCATAATTTAGATCCATGTTGTATCTCTTGGCAGCACTTTGTTTTTCAAACAGACATCCTTCCCGTTTCCAAAAAAGTATGTTAATCTATGAGGGAATTAGTAAAGTTGACTATACATGTAATGACAGAAACATGATGAAAAGTATTCATTCTGAACATATTAACTAGAAGACAAAATCTTAACATTATTAACAAAACACAATCAACAAATTTAATTTTTTGTTGCATCAGTAAAACGCCCACAGCTCTCAAACACAAAAGTGTGTCCAAACACTCTCAATAAAAACGTTTGCATCTTTGTTGATGTTTCATTTTGCAGATTTATTTTGTGCTTGAATTGCAACATGTTTTCAAATGACAAACATGTGCACTTTTATTGTTATTTACTATTTAAATATGATTAGTGGCAATGAAATCTGTAATTGTGTGCGATCGAAACAGGCCTAACTTGTCCCCTGCATCACTATGCATTAACAGAGGTGAAAGGGGGGGAACTGATTTGTAGAAAAGTCAGTCATCCTCGAAACAGGATTCTTCAAACTGTATCTTTATAATAATGCATAAACATGCAGTAGCTGAAAGAAAGAAGTATAAATGTAGCTTTAAAGTCAGATTTGTTTTTATTCACTATACATGTCAGAAAATAACTGCTGAAAACATGTAACAAGACCAAACTATGTAGTGCTGAACTTGACCTGTTTTCCATCTTTTTAGGGTTCATTTTTTGGGGCAGACCAGAAATCATGGCTGAATGCACTGGGGCCATACGTAGCATGACCTCTCCAACACTAACATTTTAAAAAGAAGATATTGGCATTCATAGTTCTTCTGCTAAATACTAGCCTGTGGTTTGCTAGCGAGCTATGCAAACACATACTGCCTGGAGGTCAGAATTTGCATAACAGCTTACTGTCATTTACATTTGAATATTAGCATAAAGGAGAGGTGCATTCATTTTGTGAAGAGCCACGCTGACTGACTGAGAGCTGAGAATCACCACCAGCACAGCTCCCATTTTAGACAAGTAGTATTTACATGATAATCTCCTATGAGTCAAAGGGTCCGAACCTTTATCTTCCGCCTTCATCCCTCTGAGAAACTAATTCAATCAATGCAAACACCTTGGTGAAAGGACGTCAAGCTAAAGCATGGTAGGACTTGAAAACAAGGTTAACTGGCTTGCGGATTACCGGCCAAACCTATTGCAGCAAGAGACCAAAGGCTTACCTTGTTGAATGACAGACAGTTTAATTTCCGCTTTGAATCATAAATTAGTCCAGGACAAGGATGCTAGTCGCAAATTCGAATTTGTTTATTATTTGTATGAAGGCCGCACTTGTAGACATTCAACCGGAAATGTCGGTAACCTCATTAACTACTTTAGTTTAAGTTGAAACACTCACATGACACATACAAAAACACATAAACAACACAATTTAGCACTTCATACACACTCGTAGTTTATTTGGGATTTGTGGAAGTACTTAACTTGTATTTGGAGCACACACATTTAGTTAACTTTTGTATGTCCAACATTATGGTTGAGTTGTAATAATCTTTTCTTTTCTTTTTTTTTGCCAGTTCTTTGGTGTTCAGGCTTCTGCTGTTTTCTGTCTGGATGGTTTTGGACAAAAGACTGCATTGGGGAGCAGCAGGCTTTTATACCAGAGCTGCCAATCAGGCTGTGCCAAGTACCTGCCACTTCAAAGAGGGAACAGGTTTTATTTGATTTAAATGTTTCATTATTCATTTGACTTGTGTTGGGTATTTAGATATATTCTGGGTTGTTAAATATTGTTCTTTTTGATTAAGAAGACCAATTGTTCTGGAGGAGTTTTGTTGGATCAGTGTAGTTGGTCTACTGGGTTGTTTTGTTGCTGTAGCCTTAGTTAAGTTCTGTTCATCTGGCATCTTTTGTGGGTCCAGAATTTAGTATTTGCTTTTGGAACTTTGTAATTTTTTGGGCGAAGTAAAAATCCCATACTGAATCCACCTGCAAGTCCTCTTGCTTTGCAGCTTGGACCTCACAGCATTTAACCTGCAACTTGAATCTTACCAGCTGTTGCCATGAAATATCTCAAAAATCTTGCATGCTAGTGGGGCTAAGATAGAACATCTGGATGCAAAGAAGAATCAGGAAGTAAAGGATCCCTGACAAGAAGGTTCACCGCAGCCAAGTTCACAAAGATGCAGTGGAGGTGGGACCGAAGTTTGTACTGGGTGTTGCATTAAATGTTGAGGGTTTTAATAACTTTGCCAACAGCTAAAATGTAGAACATGAATCCTGCCATGGCATAAAAGCTGCCAAAACCTGCCAAAGACCCAAGAACTCCTCTGGCATCTCCAACACCATGTTAAATGATTAAACAAACAAGTAAGTAAGTAAGTAAGTAAGTAAGTAAGTAAGTAAGTAAGTAAGTAAGTAAGTAAGTAAATAAATGAATGAATGAATGAATGAATGAATGAATGAATAAACAAAAGTTTTAAGAAGCAGACATAAATGCCACAATGCCAGGATCTCTGCCATTTTTCTGCTCTTGTGACTTACTGATGTTTAGAAAAGGCCCCAGAAGGCCTCTTATTCCGACATCAATTGTTTCTAACATTGATAAATTCATTCTGTTTTTATCTATTGGTGTAAGTCATTAAATGGTTTCCTCGCCTGTATTTGCTGTGGTGCCAAAGATGTTACCACCCAGATATTGGCGCCTCTGGAATTACCTCTCGTATGACTGATTGGGAACAACTTCTAAAAATTGCTGAATATTGTAAATGTAATATTACTGGTGTTGATAAAACACAGAAAGCACAAATGCGTGTGCCAGTGATTTGAAAGCATGTGGCGATTGAGAGACAAAGTAAGTCTTTTTGAGATGTGTTTTAAATACAAACTGGGTGCATAATACAGATTTCAAGATTTAGTCCTTTGTAGAAACATCACCTACAGGCATCTAAATTAAGATGCACATACAAGCATGTGTGTACCTACAAAGCTGCATCAAGAGAGCACCTGTGTAGATATGAAAAACTTGTTGTTAACATCAATACCTGCTTAAACAGGATAATCCCACTTTCTCAAGGAGGATATCACCAGGTCTTTTCCTGCTGATCCAGTTTACAATACCATTATGTTGGGTAATCTTGTGCAACGTAGAGTGTAATCCACTATACTGGTTTAACTCAAGATTCATGTGACCACTCTGGCATTTTGCCACCTTCATTTAGCTCGTAGGGGTTGATGGCGTCAGTAAAATCACGAAACTTGCTCTTCTTTACTGTGTTTGGAGATACCCAATAGAAAAGTCAGCGTGTGCATTAGTACTGAGGAGGTGAACATATATAAAAAAGAAACCTTCAACTTTTCATGTCATTCGCTTTTTATTTACATTTTTGAAGTCATACAGTTAGCCGTAATATGGAAAAAAGAACATTGTGTTGGAACCAGCTAATCCAGCCCCCAATACTATTTGGTCTGGTCATCACGTTCATCCTGATGCTGGTTGACCTGCTTTCTGATTAGGATGATCTCTACCATCGTTATCGTATCCGTTCTAAGAAAGGATTATCCCATGTGGAGCGTGGGTCTCTGCGCAGACCACAGTGTTTGCGTTTTGCTATGACGGAGTCAAAGCTTTGTAGGGCAGCCATGTGGTGAAGATCCCTTTAACCAATGCAAGGAGGAAGTGGAAAACATGTCAAAGAAGGTGATGAATATTGTCATGAAATCTGCTGAAACTAGGAAAAAGTAATTTAGCATTATGGAGGTGGAGCCTCTTGTATGACTATAAGTCTGCATTTCCTATTTCAAAAATGGGAAACGCTCTGCAGTTTCTGGACAGAAGCACATTTTATGTGCTCTAGACATGTAATCGCTTTCTGCCTTGCTGAATAAATTCCTATATGAGCTACATATCTGAATCAGATCGGTAGGACAGGTGTGCTGAGAATTTGTCCAGATGTGGTTGTAACAAAATGCAAATGTTGGTGCAGAGGTGATGTATTCTGTTAAAAGACTTTCTGCTCTCACAGATTTCATTATAAAGTTGTGTATTTAAAATCCCTAAAAACATCCATTATTTATCCAATGCTTTTAAAAACATTTCCTTACTGTCTTTAAGTGGCATAAATATAACTCTACGCTGTCTCTTCCTCTAGAATGTGTATCTCTATGAAGTCTCTCTCTACCAACCTCTGCTACTTGCGGCAGCTTGAGCACATCAGCTCACCTCCATCTCTGCTTGAAAATTGTAAAATCTCTCGATGCTACACAATGGCAAGTTGTAATATTGAAGTAATTTAGCCGTGCATGTTTAAACTTCTATAAAAGAATGGTACAGAAAGCCCCACCTAGTTTGATGACTCTTTAGGTTTGTTACATATGAAAAACTGAATTAGTTTTTTTAGACTGTCATCTTTAAACTGTAAGGAGTTCATTTTCAGCCATGGAGTTGACTGCCTTTTTTGCTCATAATGTGTCTTCTAGAATATAAAACACACACACACACAAATCTCCTTCATCCACATCACTTGTGTGGCGTTACAGATCGTCTCTTATTTATCCCACAGCAGGGAAACATGCACAGCAGTAAAGGGGACAGTGCACTAATGTAGGGACATCAGTAAAATATGA